CCAGAACTCTGGGGTTTACCATACAAAGAGCGGCTTGAAAAGCTAGATCTCTTCACAGTGCACTATCGCAGATTAAGGGGAGATTTAATTTTGATGTACAGAATACTGAGAAAAAATTTTGGACCTAACTTTCTCTTTTTCTTCCCACTGGATCGGGACATCTCATAAGACATAGCAGGCAAGTAGAAGAACCAAGAACCAATGAAATACCCGTGGCACACAGGTTCTCACACCGAGTCATCAATACTTGGAACCTGCTGCCCGAAGCAGTGGTGTCCGCACCTTCAAGTGACCCTTTCAAGAGAAGTCTGGACACTCAAAGAAGCATACTAGAAAAGGAATAACATAGGCCGTAGGCCTTCTGTCCTTACTATACAAATCTGAAAATCTGAATCTGAATAGATTGCCTCCAACCCCGATATTTCGTAATTTATAAAGCAAACGGTTGTGAGGATCTTTATCAAAAGCTTTGCTGAAGTCAATGAAGGCTACGTCTACAGGAAACTTTTGGTCCTTAAGAGCGCACTAGCTTTCACGAGTCACTAATAAGTTATTCGGACAGGAACAACATCTAAAGCCATACGTCTCAATCCGTTTCAAATGAGGACTCTGATCCTATTGTTCAAATCGCTGATGATGCTGAGTGTAAAATATATTGTATAATTGCTTTACAGACGTTAGGTCTGGATCAAGCCGACGCGTATTCATGAATGTTAGAACTGCATTATCACTTTTACCACGGGTTGGCATGTAATGGAGGTTCGTAACGTCATAATCATAATAGGTCAATATAGAATCTAGTAAGGATGATTGAGAGACCGGGTCGTATATAGTCGCTTCTTTCACATATTGCGATAGGGAACATGTGATGACCTCATCAGCTAGTTTATGCTCGAAGGAATCACCTGACAACTCAATTCGCAGACTTTTCCGGTCTACCGTGGGTGTATTAAAGTCTCCTAGGATTAGGCATCGACCACTTTGTGACCAACTATTGAGACTGTTTAGCAAGACCTCATTTATCTCACAGATTGGAATGCGGTAGATCAAACCAATCAGCAGCTCTTGTGCCTTGCATTTCAAGCGGCAACTAATTAATCCACACGTCCCACTCTCATGGGATACACTGTCGATAATGGCAAGTGAAATAGCATTCCTAATGAATAAAACTGCTCTCCTTCCTTTGGGCTTCTGGATTCTGTCAACCCTTACTAAACCCTCAAAATCAAGTTCGATACTATCAATAGACTGCGTCAGCCATGTTTCTGTGACCGTGATTAAATCAGGCTTAGTAGAGTTAGCCTGTAAACCTAGTTTCGACCGCTTATTGAGCAAACTTCGTGCTTCACCAGAAAGGCTTCAGAATCATTCTCTTCGAAGCCTCACAACCCGAACATTTGAAATTTTTGGGCCCTTTTCGCCAGCTTCTAACCCAAGTTGTAGTTCTCTATCGTCTTCCTGTCTTTTCACATAGTCTACCAGTGACAAGTCCTTACGGACAAAAACTTTTGAACCCTTTAATTTTTGTTCATTCATTAGATTTAAATGATACTTTAATCAGGCTGATAAGATTTTGTTTTAAATTCGCTTAACTACCTAGTTTATACACCTTTAGCTAGGTGACCCCGGAAGTATTTTGAGGCTTAAGTTTATTTATTATCTGTTTTATTAACCCAAAGTCATGTTCAAAGCGAGTTTTTGGTTCTGAGCTTTCACTCTCCTTGATTCTATGAAAAATAATTGACCTGTTACTGTGATCAGCCCTTAGTTTCACGACTACTTACATTGGAGGGGAGGGTAGGATTTTCTTCTATGTGTTTTCTCGCTTTCGACTTGTACCTTTTCGTTGGAGTAGCAAACACGGTTGCGTCGAATACATTGTGGGATTCCAAAGGGTTATCGACGACCATTTTTACTGAACCGTTTGATTGCCGTAGGCGTCAAATTTGTGCAAACTTCGTGGTACCCGCCTTTGCAGAAAAAATATAAAACGTTTTGCTCTTTCAGTTTACATCCCGCTGTGAAATAGAACTTTTTAGTTTTTACGATGGGGAGTGTCGAATGAAAATACTGTGCTATCATTGTTCCTATCCTATCCGGATAGGATGGATGTTATTTTATTTTGAAAGTGAACCACTAGGCCTAAAATTCTACAGCACTTTTCCTCATTTGTACATTTTCTGTCGGAAGAAGGGTACGGTAGCTAAGTGGCAGTATTTTTGGTGAAATTAATTAACAGTGCTAATTTTTTTGAGAAATACTTCTTCGCACCTTAAACTTCAGGTAAGGGAAAGAAATATACACCCCTTAAGTACCCTCTTAATTTTTCATTTCTACTTTATGCTACGCGATGAATTGATAGGGTGGGTTCGAAGAAAGTTCAGTTCTATAGTTCATCATCATATTTTGTTGTCGTTAATGGAGCCAAATTAGCATCAACATCTCCAAAGACTGACATAGCTTGCCTTCATTTTGTCAAATAATCCCTCGTTTGTTTAGGTCTGGTAGGTTAGTTCACAAAGCATGAAATTGTGATGCTTGTTCCCGAGGAAGCAACAGTAACGTTGATATTAGATGTCTTTCTTGGTAACGTCACTTATTTTTGTAGTGTTAATGAAATAACACCGAATCTTAATCGAACGTTTTTTCGAGTTAAAAATATCCTTACGTAGGTGTTCAGCGTCGATTATACGGAGCCTACTATGGTTGGATGGAGGTGGTAGTGTGGTGTCTGCTACTTATGTAGACATAAGTAGTATATGACGCGAGTTTTGAACGTAATATCTAGCAGCAGAAGATGAAGAAAGATCAAGAAAGGAAGAGGGGGAACACAATGGAAATTGTATGGAAACTCATGAATAATGAAAGGACAGTCAATCGATGTTTGCAACAGGAACAGTCAAGTTTGATATGATGGATTGTTATTTTGCAAATCAACGATTCACTATATGGTTATATTTTAATAAGTGGTTCTGTAATTTGTTGTCAAATACTTTCGATTGTCCCCATTGGTGTTCTTGTTCACTACAGTAGGACCAACCAACGTACGCCAAAGTAATACCTCCCGGTTCAAATCTAATGTGGATTACTCTTTCGTCGTATCCAGGTATTATGGTTACTTTGATGACTGCTGAACATAGCATTATGTCAGGAAATTTTCAGTAAGGAAAGGTTCAAGAAACGAGTGCGACCAATGCTGCATGGACCAGTACATGTCATGCGATCTATCGACGCTCGTCAGTGACCCTGACGTAGATCAGATAGCTAATAATGTACTGAAAAGAACGTTTAACATGTTACGGAATGTTTTAAAGTTCATACTTTGGAGTTAAGACATATGAGTTTTTATTTACTAAGACATCGCTTTCATGATTCACTGAAAGCAGTCACCACTGTTTTTTAACATGGTCTTTTTGTTTATCCAACTTCCTCAAGGACATCTTCAACAGGTAGATTGCAATCAAGTCGTTTCGGTTGTTGGAAAAGCGGTGAAAATTTTAGCTCACTTGTAGCGAGTCACAAATCCCCAATCAATCATAATACTATAATTAGTTTACACCCTGAGATGTGATAATAGTCTCCTCTTAACTTCTCTTCGATTATCTGAAAGTTTATTGACCCATGAGACAATATCTTGATGACTCGCCTGTTTTTGTCCAACTGTAACCTTTAGATGACACAGACTAACTTATAAACTAAGAGCATTATTACCCGGCAGCTACCCCTCAGCAGGTTAGGGCACACACCCGGAAGAGCTTGAGGATAATGACAGTTCTAAAAAGTCTCTTCACGACACAGTCCTCATGAGCTAAACTGTGCTCACAAAGCTGTCAAACGGGGGGATAATGACGAAGACAATCCGCTGTGGTGTCTACTACCTATAAGCACTCACACATCCAACCTCAATTTGGACAAACGCTAATGACTCAGACAGCATATGACTGCTGAGTTATTTTCACCTTCGCAACAACTGTCTTCATAAGAGATCGTGATCTTCAGCATACATACATGTCTCATTTTGATGCCCTTGTATCTCTACGATTATGCACCTATCGATTACTATTTTCTACCTAACGCCCGTATCTTTTTCATACTACATATTATTCGTTTTGAGCCATATTAACGCTTGTACTGAGTAGTCAGACCAATGGCCCACAGAATTTCGTATCATATTATTAAACCTATCCCTCAGAACGATTATTCAGACTAATGATTAATGTTCGTACTGTTTGATTCATCATTTAAAATCTGCTCCTGTTTATGCCTAGTTTCACCGGTTGTGTGAAAAATACATAACTACAAATTATCCGTAGTCGACTTCTGGTTTTACACTGCCTGGCGTTGAGTGGTTTCGGTGTGTTTGAGTTGTCAGACATTACAAGGGTAATGTGTAACGGCAGTATTTCTGGAGTCGGTTCAAGACACACCCAAAAGATTTCTTAAAATGATGCTCTCTCATAGAAAATAATAACAGTAACAAGCATGATGCTGCAGATAGTTAAATGGGTCTCAACTAACCGTTTAATCACGCTCTGTAGATAAACAAATTCATAAAGCAGTGAGTATCCACGCCATTTTATTGGAAGCAATAACTGGAATAACAAGGCGAAATTCCTTAATATGAACACATTGTCACAAAGAACTTCATATCTCAAACTAATCTTTGAAACAAATGTCAGTCATGTATTTTTGCACTGAAGGGAATTACACTATCGCTTAGGAAATCAAAAACAACTTTGATAGCATCAAACCATAAAGCTGTACTTAAAACATTAATAGGCTGAAATAAATGTTGAGAATTTATAGCGATTAACAAACTTAGCTCTTCCCTATGGTGTTATTACAAAAATTATGGCGTCATATTAACGAAATTCAATAAATTTTAAAACAATTACAGAAAAATGTATGTAAATGGTCCAACGGATTGTACAATATTTTAATTTAAAAACTAGTATCACATATACATGTCAAGAGGTGTAACGTACGAAACATGCTTCTTTTCAGTGTTTACTTCTGGAATCATAAAACATAGAAAAATGGAAGGGAATTTTAGCAATCGAAAATTACATCAGAATGAACAATGAATACGTAGACAAAGTACATAAAAACTAAAACTAGGAATCTTCGAGAAAATAACCGTTTACAACACTTTTATAAGGCTTTACAAATTTAAACATGTGCATCTTTAATAACCAGCATGGAAATGTTACTAGCTTTACAAATACTCATAGCGCTTTATCCGTTCACGATTGTAAAAATACGCTCATTTCATTGAGTACAGTTTTCCTACATTAGAAGATCACTTAACGTTGATATTAACACAAACATGAGAACAAATTATCTCCGTTACATAAGAAGCCCTACTTGTCGGGTATTCCAGGTATACTGAAATCACAACTAGCACGAAACTTTTAGATTTAGGCCTAATGAAACCAACTACATTAATAACCGACTGAATTACAACATCCAATGACATTTTACCTAAATCTTTATTCTGTTTATAGTATAACCACTTTTGAAAATGAACAAGATGAGTTATTACTTTTAGACTGCTTAACATAAACTCAGTAATCCGTTGGTGCCGAACAACAAATTTCAACCACTATTTGGACGTTAGGTAAACAAACTCATTTTTACTACACTTCCATCGAAAAAGTGAAGTAATGAAGAACATAGACAAAAAAGAATTGGAGAGACTTTTGCAGATTGTCAGACTATATTATTCATAAAGAGAGACGAGTATTTGAACGATATTTCTGTTATCGAGAATAAAGTTAATACGCATACTGATCATGTTTACACTACTATGTAAATTGTACATTTAATTAGTGCTGAATGGTTAATGAGTTTAATATTACAAAATGATTACTAGTTTACAAATTTTCAAACGAATAAGAATTAAAGAAAATTCAGATAAGAACATTATCTTTTCAACAACTCCATTTACTTAAACCGAACAGTAAGCTATTTTTACAAATAGTAATTTATAATAAAATAGAGGGGGGTTGTATCATTTAATAAAAAAGTCATCAACAATAACAATCTAAATTCATTGATAATCCTTAATCTCTATTGTGATTTTTACCAGGTGAATTTATTAGTTAAATGGTAGATTAAAACAATTCATGAAAATAGTTATGTGAAAAACTAAGTTTCAGTTAATGATTTGTTAAGTTCATTAGTTTCCAGGTAGATCAATTATTATTATTAGTATCACCATTGTAAGAATGTGTTAATTAATTATATTTTTCTTTGGATGACATACCTAGTCTTTCTATTTACATAGAGATTATATGAACATATTTTTTATGAAATCTTTCCTATTAGAATCATGATAAAAAAAAAGTTGGTCTACATAACTATAAAGATCTAGTTGGGTTTGAATGTGATTAGCTAGAAAATAGATACCACTTTCATAGTAATATCTATTAACGACGAACATCATACAATCTTATTTTACTTATTAGTTGTCCGACGATTAGATTTAGTGTTTTCATTTTCGAAGCGAAAATCTTATACTTCAAAGTACTTGAACCATTTGAGAGAACTGTTTTAATAACATAGAATTCAAAAGTACAGGAAAGTGAATTCCGACACATAATCAAGAGCCTTCATGATACATGGATTATAACTCGTCACATTACAATAGTGCATTATTAACGGTCAATTTAAATAATTCATACAGGAGATACAAAATGCACTCCTAATCACATGACGATACACTTAGAAATTCAGGCTAACATGTCGCTTATTTTTAAATATTTATAATTATACTCATAATTTTTCGTCAATAGGGATCATGAATTTCAGCCACCGATATAGTAACAACAACGCGACTGTTGGGATGGCCACCGAGAAGCCACCCACGTACATAGTCGATTGACGGACTTATCGATCAGATGTTGAAATATTTAAAATGGCAGTCGATTGACTAAGTTATCGATTAATGTTTAAAAACTTCCATGGCAATATTGATATATATATATATATATATATAATTGTATAAATACGCATGTTTTATTGTATATTTTGATTCTTGTCAATAAGTGCTCTCAAACGTCTTTCGTCTTCTTACTTGAGAGGGGTTGGAGGTTCTAACGTTCGAGTGTCATCAGTTATATAGTGTTTCGTGCGTATTCAAGTAGAGAACATAACAGCGACTACTTTAATTAAAGTAGATAGAATGGAGTATGAACATGTGACGTATACTGATTGGAAGGTGAATAATTCAATTACTAAGAGACTACTTCTGTTAAAATAAACGGAATCATAACAGAATTTGAACTAGTTTCTTCACAGTTATTAGCCATGCTTTCTATAGATAGATGATATCAAGCTGCTAACCATACTGCATTTAAATCACTGTGTTTAGAAGACTAATAAGTAGTCGAGAAGTGCAAAAATAACTATACTACATAAAACAAGTTTTCTTACCCTTATCATTGAACTAGACAAGGAAGAAAGGATTTACATTTTCAAACTGTCCATCCTCAAATACATTTTGTTATCAATTAAAAAAAATTATGTGCATGTGCAGTGAACTTACAATGTATTGTTTTCATACAAAGTGGAATTGTTAATTTCTATAACTGGTCCAGGGATTATATGACGTACGCTACCAAAAAAGTCTGTAACAAGTACGCGACGTATATCACGTCTGAATAAATCAGATCGAGTGACAACAGTTGATTGACATAATGAGAAAGAGCATAATTGGGACTAGGTTACAAAATAAAGAAGTAAGAACACAATGCAATTAATTTGTTTAGCTAAATAACCGACTTAAGTACATTTACTAAGATACAAAATCCGCTTGTGAAAAAGCTAATAAGTCTATAGAGTCCATCACAAGAATGTATCGATAAAAGTTACTACATTTTGTAGAGATACGAGGAAAAATCAGGAAGATTAAAAAAAACACCATTAGACAGAAATAAAATACACACTCAGTAATTACATGATAGAAATAAATGAAAAAAGAAATGTGAATTCGTTACCAACACTGTAATTTACCTAACGAGACATCCAGTCATTGGTTACAACCACTGTCAAAATAATATTGAAACAGTTTAAACTGTTCGAGGACAATTTACTCAAGCTAGTTTAATCATATACAGGCTATTTCTTTAATCTCGAACAACAATCAAGTGTCATGGAAAATGACAGTTGTTGATAATGCTTTTAAAGAAATGTAGGACCTATCATACATATTAATCTTTTCAGAGTACCATATCATACTTCGGCACGGAGAAATACAACTTACATGATGAAGAGCAAAATGCGAATATGAAGTTTACAGGAAAAAAATAACTGGATAGAACATAATGGATACACTTGTTGCAGTGTTAAAAGATGTTTTATTTGCCTGAATTTTACATCTTCAATATCCAGATAGGCGTCGGATAGTTAAGGGAGCTGAGAAGTTAGAAATTATATTTATTATCTCAATCGCTGTAGATTTAAGGACACTATCCTGTATATTGAAATGAATCTACACCACACTCAAAAACTGGACATTTTGTGAACAATGGTCATTCGATGAAACCAAATTAAAAGTTATTTACATAGTGAGTAGAAATCTACTAAAAAACACTGACCTGTTGTCTTATTTGAACTGCTGAAACTTCCACCACACATATAAACCAAGCAGAACTGTGTGTACAAATGAAGCAATTAAGTCACTTCACTCATTTTCAATCACCAAACCAACTTCTAATTCCTCCAACACAACTTGTTTCTATTCACCTATTTTTTTTCATTAAAATTCACTCCAATATCAAAATCTGTCTTGTCACGATATAAACTCGCTTTTGCAGTTCATTATTACTATCGACTTTTGACATGTTTTGGTTAAATTCAAGCTACTAACTACATTAGTCATTTTGTGAGTATAACATCACCAGCCCTTACGTTTTACAGTGATGAGAGTGACAAAAACTGACAAGGTTAATATAAGGAATAGTAAGATAATCATCAATGGTAGTGTCGATCGTTCAATCTAGCACATAAAGTTATACGGGTTTGAATCCCGCGAGCGGGATCATGGATGCGAACTGCTGAGGAGGTCCATACTAGGACGAAACGGCCGTCCAGTGCTTCCAGGTTTCCAACGGTCAGTCAGTCAGTAACAACGTGGAACTTCGTACGTACGTACATCAGTTCCAGTTGCCATACCACATTAGCACAGAGATTCAGTTATCAATTCAAATCCCATAGTGGTAGAGGTACTGAAAGTATAAGTAGAGATAGGGGACATTAAGGTTTGATGATGTTATTAAAGGAGTATAGTCCAGTGGAATAAATTGGGAAGGAAATAAAGGACATGAAGAATTCAGAAGATTAGAGTTTGAGAGAACACAAAGAGTGAATGCACCTGCGCCATTGCAAACGATTTTGAGCCATGTCATTCAAGGTCTCTAACCATCGGTTGCTATCGTCTCGCGGTCCAACGGTGGTTAAACATCAGTCAGTTCATGATATTAATCAAAAACTTAGTAATCTCCACAACCCCAATACTGACAAAAACAAAAACCTATGGTATAATTTAAACTTACAAAATCATACAATGTTCTTTTGCTCGAAGGAGTAACAGACTCCAAAAACTGAAACGCATAGTAAGAATATCGATCAGAAACATAGGTTCCAATTTCACGATCCGAATGGAGCTGAATGATAAAATAGTGAGAATATTTTTTGCACAGTATAAAATTAGTTACCATGCAAATATGATTAAATTTAAAAGGAAATCTTAATTTCGACCACATCCAGCCTAGTAGTCTGTATGAAGGGAAATACATTAAAAATTCCTACGAATTTAGTCACAAAAACTGATGCTTAGACGATACTGCTAACACTAATCGGATTCAATAAGTGAGGAACATCACAACTGTATGATAAAACAAGTGCAAATTAACCGATAAATTTATAAATCTAAATTAAATTAAACAAGATGTGTAACAAGTACATGCAAGTTATGTACTTCAAAGTTGAGAGAGAAACTCAAAATATCTACTAACTATTAAATTAAGGAGGAAAATTATACTTGTGAAAATCTCGGCGATTGAACTTTAAGTAAATTCAACGTTTTGTTTGGCAATCTGGCCCAGACTTTTTGAAGGAAATATAATCAAAATTGTCAAATATAAATAGTTCACAGGTCAAATTTACAATAAACAAGTTATTCAATAACGTTAACAATTTCGAAAGGGAGATTTATTGTACTATACATGAGATCTTTGGCATTAAAAGTGGAGAAATTGTGTTAAAATAGAACAAGTATATGTGGACCTGAGGCCAGAAAAATGCATCGACCATGTAACACAATTCATCATTTGAGGATAAATAAACAAATAAATGTTTGTGTTATTGCGTTGACCAAGTTGATTCCTAATTGTATATTCGGACTAACCAATCAGTTAAAACAAGTGAAAGTAATTGTTATTGTCCAAGAGATGAATTAAATGAAGTGTAAAATTAAGTTGATTGTATTCCATCTCTCACATAAACATTGTTTGGGTTTGCCCATATGTGCAGGACTTCAGCTAATGTCTCTTTGTATAAAATAAAACCTTTTTGAAGGATTC